TAAACTCATTGCTTGCAGCTATGGACATGTTTTTGCAGTAAAGCCCTGCATGGATTAAGAGTCAATCAGTTGTTAACAAGTTGCTTTTTCAGCTGAATTAGTTCAATGGGATGTAGAGATAGAAATAAAGAAGAGAATTGACCAAATACTCTGTGGAAAACATTGATTAAATTCTTCCAGCTCACATATATTCTTTGTTCAGTTAATCAAACAATAACACAATTGTTATAATTAGAAAAAATGGTAATATTAGAATATGCACGATTGTACATGAACAAGGGGTGGATATTTTTTCAAGACTCCACATGAAATTATCTAGTGTCCATATAGTCATTTCAGGGAACAGAACAGAAACATTCATATATATATATATATATATATATAAATAATTTAACATTATTTATCTGAGGAGCAGACCGCTTTGAATTTAACTCCATCACAGAACTCTCATCTTGAGCAAGGATGAAGGCAACAGTGGAAAGAAAAACTCCCTCATGACGAAGAAACTTTTAGCAGAACCAGGCTCAGGACAAGCGGTCATCTGCTTCGACCAGCTGAGTTTGAGAGGAAAAGGAAGGAGGAACAGATACACAATGGCAGGTCAAGAATCACATTGATAGAAATAGTATTAAATGAAAACTATTTAATTTTAACAATTATTTTAAGGAAATTAGGTCAAATTATCCACCAGTAGTCTAAGCCTGACAAACCAATCCCAACTATAGGATTAATCAAAAAGGAAAGTCTTAAACCCAGTCTTAAAACTAGACAATGTGTCAGCCTTACGGACAGAAACTGGAAGTTGGTTCCACAAGAAAAGAGCCTGATAACTGAAAGATCTTCCTCCCATTCTGCTTTTGGAAACTCTAGGGACTGCGAGTAAGCCTGCAGTCTGAGAGCGAAGTGCTCTGTTAGGAAAAGATGGAACAATAGGAGCTCAAATATAAAATGAAGCTAGGTTGTTGAGAGCTTTGTAGGTTAAAAGTAAGATTTTGAATTAAATTTTGGATTTGAAAGGGAGCCAATGGAGAGAAGCTAAAACTGGAGAGATATGATCTCTCCTACTAACTCCAGTTAAGATTCTGGCAGCAGCATTTTGGATCAACTGAAGACTTTTTAAAGACGTATTTGGACACCCAGATAACAAACCACTGCAGTAGTCCAGTCTAGATGTGATAAATGCATGAAACGGTTTTTCTGCATTACTTTTAGATAAGATGTTTAAAATTTTAGCGATATTACGCAGGCGGAAGAAGGCAGTTCTAGTAAGGTTTTTAATGTGGGGGAAGAAAGACATGTCCTAATCAACATTAACACCAAGATTGTTAACATTGTAGCTGGAGGACAGATTAATGTCATCTAAGGAGGGAGAAAGACTGAAAACTTTATTCCTACGATGCTCAGGTCCAAAAGCCAAAACCTCAGTCTTGTATGTGTTCAAAAACAGGAAATTTAGGGTCATCCAGGTTTGTTATGTCTTTAAGACATGCTTGTAGTCTAAGTAGCTGATTGGATTCATTGTGTTTCATGGACAAATATAATTGAGTATCATCAGCGTAACAATGAAAATGCAGATGACATGCTGTTTACCTAATGGAAGCATATATAAGGTAAAGAGTATTTGTCTATGCACTGAACCCTGAGGAACTCCAAGACTAACTTTGGTGTAAGAAGATTCATTATTTACATTTACAAATTGAAATCTATCAGATAAATATGATGTAAAACAATTTAGAGCTGTTCTTGTAATCCCAATACCATATTCAAGTCTCTGTAGTAGAATATTGTGATCAACTGTGTCAAATGCAGCACTGAGGTATCTCCTCCTACTTCACTGCGTGAGTGCAGCTACAGCGTGCGCTCTAGGACATTATTACATGCAGTGTTTCCTCAGTGCAGACTCAACTGGGCAAAAGGGCCTTCTCCTACTTCACTCCTGTTTCCTGGAATATCTTGCAAAAAGATCTGAAAACCTTGACCTATCTAAGTGGCTTCAAATATCTGTTAAGTTCCTGGGAAAAAACAATGCAGACATGTCCCTGTTTTTAGTTTCCTACATAGCCTTAAAATCAAGCTGGTTTTTTTTTTGTCTGTTTTTGTTTGTTACATCTTCTTTTAAATACCATTTTCTTTCACTTGATAATCTCAATTTGTATGCATCCTTTATGATTGTCTTATATTGTCTTTGTTGTCCATTGGTGTCATCACTCTTTGTTTAAAAAACAAAACAAAAAAAAAAAACTGGTCTATCTTGTAAATGAGTCCCCGAAGCTCAATAGGATGAACCTGTATAAATAAAGGTTGAATGAACAAAGTCTAACAGAACCAGTGTAGACAGACTACACTGGTCCTGTTGATATGAGAATATCATTAGTAACTTCCAACAGTGCCGTTTCTGTGCTATGGTGAGCTCTAAACCCCGACTGAAACTCTCGGTCTATATTTATATAATGTATATATTTAAACCAAACACTTTCGAATTGAAGGAATGCACATTGTCTGTCATCTTTCACGCCAGAGTTTTAAACTATATAGAACGGGTGATGTTGTAGCCGTTTTTGTCAAACCTTAAAACTAAACATCCCACAATATCACCCTCAGAGAATGGGTTAATGACTCTCAGCTATCTAAAATTTAGCTCAATATCTGTGGATTCGGCTAATTGATAGCACTTTTTGTGTTTTCTGTGGCAGCTCATTAGGAATTAGGTTAGCTTCAAAAGTTAATCAGTTGTACAACTACCTGTTAGTTTCATTAAAATCCTTGAGATATTTTGCTAACTGACAGGCACATGAACGCAAACTTGGACAAGAAAACATTGCACACCTTTTGGTTGTGGATAATTTGTCTTTGAGAAAAAAACCTTAAGACTATGCAATCCCAGTCAGGCAGCTAAGAATGATCTAAACGTTTTAAATCTGAATGTTGCCACTAATTAAGGAACCGTTTTAAACAGGAGCCGTATGCATTATTGAGTAACTTTGAGAAAAACTGCACAAGGCCACGTCATTTAAAAGAAAGCTATATGCAGCCTGCCTTTGGGAGGAGTAGAAAAAAGAAGAAAACAGTACGGATGGTTGCATTAACTCCACAGCATCAATAACAGCTGATGAACGTTTGTCTGTGAACGCCAAAAAAACTCCTCGGTTGTCTTTTTTTTTTTTTTTAAGAGCTCAGCAGCTGTTTGCTGTCACGGAGGTGCTTCTCTATGACAACTGGACTGGAAGGCTGCACCGTTTCAGGATGTTCAGCAAGGCCTGATGTGGGGAACCAGTTGGCAGTGTTTAGCAAGTAAACATGTTTAGGCTCATTTCCATATTTCACCTGGCTGTTAAACTCAGCATTAGTGGTCTTCCATAAACACTAAAAACAGCAGAACAGGAAAAAGCATTGTGACTGTCACAAGATGCTGCTTAAAATGCAAAGCAAGCCGCTCTCATTTGAAACTTGCCCATAACAAAAAAAAACAGTGCTTCTTTTGTGCTTGGCACATCGTGGCATGATTAGGTGGGAATGAGGTAGTTTTTTTGTTTATGTGTGTGTTGTTGTTGAAAACCGAGTAATTATCTCAAGTCTCTCTCTTCACATTCAAAAGAAGCATTGCCCTCTCTGGTTCAGTGTTTTCTGACAGCATTATTCAGATGAGGTCTGCATTGCAGTCAGAGTCATGTTTACTGACCGAAGCCGCAGTGTGAAATTCAGAATAATTGCTCTCTACATCACCCCTGGCACATTGTGGCACACTTCAAGCAGGAAGGCCAGCTGACGGAATTTTCCAAAAATACATTAAGTCCACTTCTTTGTTCTTTGAAACTCCCACTTCTCTAAAATTTCAAATAAAAAGGCAGCAGATCTGTTCATTAGCTTTGAAATCTCCTGCATTAGGGCTTGGAGTATAATGAAATGCCAACAGCACTGAGGGAATACACGCATCTCTGGTCTAACGTGTTTTTTGTTTTTCCACTTACGCGTACAGTAACGCTCATCTGTGGGAGCATGAAATAAAGACGCACAAGAGAAATCCTGCTGTACATTCAGCAGCAGATTGTTGAAAATGGCAGAAAAGCTAAACCAGCAGATGTGTCAGGGCACGGCGTGGACACCTCATTAAACCACAGCATCCCTGGATGTGCAGGGAGGAGTCCTCCGTGTGTGGTGGTGGAGGCAGACAACACACTGGTAACAATCCCATCAAGATGCCTGGCACTGTGCAGGGCTGGGTTTGGTGGGGGGATCATTTCTGCTCAGTGCTGCATGTACTTAAATCAAATCTCCCAAAGCAGTCATGTTTCCCCGCAGCCGGCATGTCACTCTCCCAAATTGTTTCATGTTCTTTAGAGCGACTAAATAAAACCAAAAGGCAAACAAATCCTCCTGAGACAGCGAGGAAGTGAAAATACTTGCGCTGGATACTTTGTACTTCTAATACTTTTAGTCGCCTTTTATTTATTTGTTTTTTCCATCAAAATGGCATTTTCTAGTTGAGCTTGATTCTAAAGCCCTGGCAAGCTTTAATAGAGGTGGTGGTGGTGGGGAATAATCTTTTTTAGGGTTTACTGCCATCTGTTGGACCAGAGTGAAACTGATTCTCTTCTGACAATACCTTTAGTGCTCTGCCTTTCACGTTTCTTTGTAATCTACACTTAGTTGACTAGTAAATGTGTTTTCCAGGCTTCTCCTTAAAGTATCTGTATTGACCCATGTTTTGATAACATCTTGAATCACCATCTCGCTCTCGTGTTTGCATGCTCGACTGCACCTTGATTACCATTTAAATTAGGGTAAGAGTGAAGTGACGGAGATTGCTGTTTGCACCTCAGGTTATGGATGTCAGCCTGCCATTCCTGATTGGATGATTAGGTGAAACGAAATTAAATCAATCAGTGGGAAAATTTCGAGAAGAAACAAGTTGTTGTTATACACAATGGATGCATATCTACACACACAGCATGTGCATGTTGACTCTGAAATGTTGCAGGAATAAACACTCAAACAATGAAAATGATTACTTACAATTTATTCTTTTAAATTCAAGGTAAAAGGAGAAAAACCCTTGCAAAGTTTGCATGGTTTTATGACATGCAATTTATCATGTTTTTCTTTTATTTTATAGGGCAAAATATCTGCCACAACAGTTGCTGTTTCAAGTGGCTCAGCTCCATTGCCAATGATGGAGGCAGACTGTAAAAAAATGGCAGTAAATTTGACACTGTCATATAACTGGAAGAAATGTAAAACAGGTCACAAAAACAGTTTTTCTTTCAGATGACCAGCATATCATGGCTCCACAGATGGGCCTCTGGCAAATTAGAGGTCCAAGACTAAATATGGTAGCTGTGAAATCATCAAACTGCCCGACTCAAAAGGGAACTGTTTCAAAAAAATAAAATAAAAAAGTTTCTCTTTATGTGGTAGATCAATATATTTACCTAAATCTGGCACTGAGAATGGCTCTTTGAGGAGTAGAAAGAGAAGTACAAGTATTGATTTAAAGAGGCAAGTCCAAGAAATATTAAAGCCCTTCCATGACATTTTAACACAGACAGGCAGAGGTAGAGAATAGACGGGAAAAAATGGAAAATATCTACTGACAGCATCTGGTGTCAGGTTCGTTTAAAAAAATATGGTGGTTGTTTAAAGTCCTCAGTCTGCATCCTCTTCCTCAGATTCAGACTCTGGAAGGATGAAAACTCATGTTAGTGTGATAAATAGTCTTTATTAGATAAACATCAATGACACCAGAAGGTTTGAGGGGCCTACCTTCCTCTGCATTCTTGAGCCACTGCACAAATGTTTTCATCTGTTCAATGAAAACACTTTTTCCTTTGGCTGAGTGGGCTTCTTTGTACCACTTCAGGATTGCCTCTTCACTTAAGACATCAGCTTAAATAGAGTAAAATAAAAAAAAAGAAAAGCTATTTAACATGACGCCAAATGCACAGATGCAAGCCCAGGTGCATGGAAAATAAAAAGCACAAATGTCGCCAAGACTGGTTGATGACATCAATCAAGACAAACTTTTGGCTATAATCTCTGGCCATCTGGCATCGTTCATACATGCCTTCATCGCTTCCCACCGTAAAATAAACTCGGCTACCTCACAAATGTGAACACGGAAACGGGCACCTTCTGAGCGCAATTATCTCACCTTTGTAGAACAGAACAACAATTTTCTGGAAGGCCTTCATGAAGTGGATGTTCTCATAGCAGTACTCCTGGACCTTCAGCAGAAGAGTAAGTTCTGAGAGGCCCTGAGATGTAAAAGCCTTCAACAGGGGGCTGTATTGCTGAAGAAATAAAACATTCAGAGTTAGAGGAATATGACTTTGAAAAATTGACAGTTTCACCAAATATTGTAAGTAGGGGGGAGAACTGAGTTTCTTCTCTCTGATTTCTTATGTTTGTATCCACCCTGCTGGTAGAACTTAGCAAATTATCTCTACTAGGTCTCTGTGCTTACTGCAGACTGGATGTGGCAATATCGTACAGTTTGAGTGACACACTTAAGCTTTAGATGATTTTCTTTACTGCCATAACTGCTGGAGAGAAAGGGAATGGTGCAATCACATATTGAAGGTGTCACCTTTAAGTGTTTGATGGCTTGTTCTGCAACCAGCTCCTCCTTTTTGTTCCACTCTACAGAGCTCATCACACTGGCCCACATCAGTCCAATCATCGTCTGCTCCGAGATGTTGTTCTTCTTCATTTCCTCCCGAGCGTATGCGACAATCTACAGCGAACGTTAGAGACAACGCAGACACCCCTGAAGCCAGCATATGGAAAAATCATACAGCTTATCCAATTGAGCAGAACAGTGAGGCATGGGAACTCTCTGAGAGGCATGCGGGAACTGATAATATTGTTGAGGTTGAGTGGATTTCAGGAACTTTTTATTGATTCACTGCATCCATTTCACCACCGCTTCTCAAGACAAAGGCAGGCGGGGGTCAAGTAGAAAGCAATTTTCAGTGCTAGTCTCAGTGGCATGCTGCATGAAAAGACCTGAGTGTAAAAGAAGCAGAAAAACTTAAAGAACTTACATCCTTGAGGGGGTCTCCGTGCGACATCTGATCCTGTATCTCTTTCTGCAGCTCTTTGCGAGCACCTATAGACTGCTGGTTTTTGGCGAAGTCTGAAAGCTCCTTAAGCCCAGCATCACTGAAGTACTTTGAGAAGTACTCACTACTGCGCTTGTTGGCAGGAAACAGTTCCTGAAAAAGAGTCAAAAGACTTGAGAGAATCTGGATTCAGCCAGACAGGCCTTTATCGACTATCAAAAGCCCTGCGTGCATTGGTTTTTTTTTTCTGATGACTGAATGTCACAACAGTTTACAACTTAAAATATCTTTTTTTTTTTAAAACATCCTATTGAAGACTGCAAAGGGTCCTTGTGAATATTTGCTTAACAAAAAAACAACCCACAAGATAAATCTTAAACCATAAGTCATCATCAAAAATTGGTTAAACATCAAGTATTTTTAAGTAAACAGTTCAGAGCCGGCTTTTGAATTAGGAACGTTTCTGGTAATTGTGGCCTGTCTGTTTTTACTGACTTATTTCCGTTCCACAGGAAAATTGTATTGGTCAAAATATTTTATTTTATTATTCAAAAGGTATAACAACAAAATTTTCCATTTTTCATGCATACGTTTTTTTTTATTGTGGCTTTAATTTTGAATTGTATATGAAAGTTAAAGTTGGATGTTTGGATATGACATTGTGATATGTGATGAGAACAGGGAACAGGTGGAAGAGAACGTGTAGAAGTGGAGGTATGCACTTGAAAGATGAGGAATGAAAGTCAGCCGTAGTAAGACAGAGTACATGTGTGAATGAGAGTCGATGGAACAGTGAGGCTACAAGGAGCAGAGGTCACAAAGGTGCAGGACTTCAAGTATTTGGGGTCCACTGTCCAGGAAAATGCAGTGTGGTAAAGAGGTGAAGAAGAGAGTTCAGGCAGGATGGAGTGGATGGAGAAAAGTTTCAGGAGTTATTTGTGACAAAACTGTGTCAGCAAAGGAGAAAGGAAAAGTTTACAAGACAGTGGTGAGACCAGCTATATTGTATAGTCTGGAGACAGTGGTATTGACAAAGAGACAGGAGAAAGAACTGGAAGTGGCAGAAATGAAGATGTTGAGGTTCTCCTTAGGAGTGACAAGGATGGATTAGATTAGGAATGAGATAATCAGAGGTACAGCACAAGTTGAACAACTGGGAGATAAAGTTAGAGAGACCAAACTGAGATGGTTTGGACATGTCCAGAGGAGGGACAGTGAATATACTGGTAGAAGGATGTTAGAAATGCAGCTGCCAGGAAAAAAAGACAAAGAGGAGATCGATGGATGCAGTTAGAGAGGACATGGAGGTAGTTGGAGTGAGGACAGAGGATGCAGAGGACAGAGTGAGATGGAGAAGGATAACTTGCTGTGGAGTCCCTGAAGAGGGAAAAGCCAAAAGAAGTATATGAAAGTTATCCTGATGCATGCTCAATAATCCAGGTAGAAAAATCCAAAAAAGTTTAATCTGGTCTGAGCTGAAAACAGCACCTCAGACTGTCTCTTGGATGAGAGACGAAACGTTTCTATATTTTTTTGCTTTTTTTTTTTTTTTGAACGTCCAGAGGACCAGATTGAACTTTTTGGGATATATGAAAGTTAAATATGGAAGAAAAAAAAGAGAACACTAAACAAATATAAATAAAATGTGTACAAAAATTACATGAAAGTTTTGATACACTATCATGACACTAGCCATTTTTGCTACAAAAGACAAAAAAATATATAAACTCTCCAAAGACGTCCAAAAATCAGGCTAGAGTTGGTAAAAAGATTAAATGTTTGTATGTATCTAAACTACCTTGTAGAAAACAGAGATCTCCATGTTTGGGGAAAATAAAACTAAAAATGGCCCAGACGGGGTTAAACTGAAGACCTCTGGCTTTTGGATGCTAATTGCACCTACAGTGCTAACCAATAACAATATGTAACCATATGCAATCCTGATCATAAGCTCTGATTGGCAAGGGTGCCTCTGCCATTAGCTTGTTGGATTCCTGTTTCATACTGCATACAATTTATCATTTAATACTTCTTTGTAGAGATAAATTAATGAGTCAAATAATTTTAATTGGTCAATATTTGCCATTTTTTTAAATTGCAATTCACCATTTCTATGCATAATCAAACAATAATCAAGTAGGAAGATGAAGATGTAGTAGCAGCTGTTACAACCAACTTACTGTGGCACATAATTTATTGTTTTTAAGGGAAGATGCTTTTTTATGGGCATATTTAAAGTGCAAGAGTTTAAAAATATACATTCAATTAAGCAATTATTGTTATATTTAGTTCTTTTTTTCCCCATGGCACAAACATGCTTGTGAAGCATTCGTATTGCCAAAAATAAATAAATGGTGTTATATAGCTGCCCTGGTTTATGAAGATTTGTTTAGGCATCAAAAATAAAAGTCAACCTTTTATTGTTTGCCAGATGGAACGAGTGTGTGTGGCCCTAGGACCATCAGTTTAAACAATTGGGTTCCCAGTTGGAGTTTAGCCATTGGAGCACACTTGTTTTTGACTTATGGCAGTGGTAAAATGTTTGTATTGAAAATGCTTTTCTCACCATGAGTCTGTTGTCCATGCCAACCTTTCGAAGACTGCCAGCAATTGAATTTATGTCCTTCTCAGAAAGCCAGGATTTGAAGAGTTTCACAGCAAAGCACGCTGAAACACCTGAACAAATGCAAATAGAGTGTGTCACCTGTTGCCTACAGATCTGACAGGATTAAGTTGGGCCTCAGTAAACTAATGATAAACAAAAGCAGCGATTAACTGGAACATTGCCATAAAGCAGTTGGAGTTTAGCACAACGGGGACGCATCTACATCGAACGGCATTTTGAATTCAGTGAACAACCTTTCAATAGCTTCAAATACATACAAATGTGAAGTAAACTACAAGTTGCTCTAATTTATCATGCAAGTTTCTGGGCCAAATGACTATAAATGGGTGGTGTTGGATTAGCTGAGGCTATTCATCAGCTGCATAGATTGTGGCCATTTCTTTCCGCAGCCAGAAAAAGACAAACAGAACCGATTCAAAGCCAGACAAGACTCACAGTACCATCTGCATCGTTTTACAATCCATTAGTAGTCCAGGCATGTCTTGAAACCACTTATTCATGCAGATTATTTTCTGTCTTTTTTCTTGGTAATGTTGTGTCCTGACAGCTTAAACAGCCAATGACGTGTCATCAGGGTGTACAGTTAGTATAGTTTAAGAACAAATCGTAAAAATTGTGTATACTTTTTTTTTAAAGCATTGTTAAAAGTATTTAAAACGTACAAAAAAACTA